CATTGTAATCCTTTCTTGGGGACAAAAATTTTACTGAAAATAGAAATGGCAACAGACCTCTAGATAGACATATTGGCAGAGTTACAACTAAAATAATGCATTCCTTAATGCTCCATTTAAAACGAGACAAAGCAACAGAATACACGAAGCATGTTTCTAAGAGTGCTCATTATCAGATTTCTACCACTAAAATATTAGCAATAATGCACGTTCCCAGTGAATTAAAGTATTCTCACAGTACAGACAGAAGATGCACACACATTAATGGCTCACATCCAAATGCAAATCCTTGAGCACTTGTTTCTATCTTTCCCTGTGTGCTTCCTCCTTCTCCTCTGTTGCCAGCCTAATGGAAAGTCCTGATACACACTGCCCAGGGGTAAAAATAATTCCATGTCCAAGATGCATCTTTTCTATCAATTATAATAAAAAGATATTTTCAGGTTGGTTAATTCACTAGCTCTGATCTTTATGATATAGTGTCACCTCAGGACATCTAGAAAGCTTAGATGTTATGAAATAAAGAATGAACTTTGTGCACAATAAATGCAAGTATCTATGGTTATAATCTAAAACTGCATTTCAGATACGGAGATACTAGCAAAGAATGCTTCCCCTCACCTTTCTATCCTTCTTCACTATTCCAGTGACTAAGTTCAGGACTACCCCTTGCTCCAAGAGGTGGATTAACAAAGGTCATTCCCAGAAGTCAGTTCTTCCTAAAAACTAACAAATGGATATTTATATAGGGATTATTTTGCTACTTCTAACAAACTTTTGGCATTGGAACTAATCTTTTTAATACTCAGCAACATATAATAATAGCTAAACAATCTGAACTACTCTAAGAAGCACAGAACACTTTTCTTTGCGCACTTTCTTCTTCCCTCCCTCCACCTAATGAACATTCAACATACTCTCCAAGAGGTCAAGTATAACAATACCATTTTCCTAAACGGCAACTATTCCTATGAAGTAAAACTTGCAATGGAACCACCATTTGACTCAGCTATCCCACTTCTTGGTTTCTACCCAAAGAACTTAAAATCAGTTATTATAGTGATACAACCACATCAATGTTTATAGCAGCTCAATTCAGAATAGCTAAACCATGGAACCAACCTAAGTGCCCTTTAACAGATGAATGGATACACACACACACACACACACACACACACACACACATAATAGAATATTACTCATCCTTAAAGAAGAATAAAATTATGGCATTTGCTAGTTAATGGGTGGAGCTGGAGACTATCATGCTAAAAGGAATAAGCCAGTCCCCATAAACCAAAAGCCGAATGTTTTGTCTGAGAATGCAGATGCTAATTCACAATGGGAGGTGATGGCTAGGGAAGAATAGAGTTACTTTAGATTAGGTAGAAGGGAGTGAAGGGAGGGGAGGGGGCAAGGGAGTAAGAAGCATAGTAGAATAAATCAGACATTATTACCCTATGTTCATATATAACTATACAACCAGTGGAATTCTACATATATAACTATACGACCAATGGAATTCTACATCATGTATAACCAGAATATAAACTACACTCCATTATATATGATATATCAAAGTGCATTTTACTGTCATGTATAACTAATTAAAACAAATTTTAAAAAAATTTAAAAATACTTAAATGACATTACTTTAGCCTTCCATGTTTACCATGTGTTGTGCACTCTTAAACATCTAGAGAGACTAGATGTTTCCAACAAGGACTAAAGTTTCCCATTATAATGCAGTAGCACTAAATAGACTTACTGCACACATATACTTAAGAAAAACTAGACTTCGAAGCAAAACAAAACAAAGCAAAAACCTTTTTAAAGGGCTAGAATTTGAAAGTGTCTTCCAAACAGGAACATTCTGGCCTGAATCCTCTCTTCATCTCTTCTCAACCCAGGGCTTTGATATGCATCTGTCATGTTTAGAGATGACTACCAATTTCACTTCCTAAGTGATTTTAAGAATAGTCTTTCCTATAAATTTTAACACAAATGTACTCAGTGTGTTAGTTTACTAATTCTACTTTTGTCGTAACCTGGCAAACTCTTTAATATCTAGATAGACTAGATGTAAACTAGGTCTCATTTATCCTTCATATAGACTATTGACACAGCCCAGTGAAACGAAACTCATAGACATAAAAGGTGGTGTCAATCTTTCTTCACAGAAAATGCACTGGTATAAAGCCCTTTGCATTTTCTTTTCCTCTTTCCTCCCTGAACCAGCACACATATAACATGTACTGCTCAGTGAAGTGTTTTCATCATTCCATTTCCAAAAGACAGTATTTCATTATGAATTTTAACAAAAAAAATATCTACAAAATGTTTTATTTACTACCTTTACTTTTTTCTTTTGTATCAGGGATTGAACCCAGGGGTGTTTAACTACTGAGCCACATCCCCACCCCTTTGTATTTTACTTATTTTTTAAAATTTTGAGACAGGTTCTCTCCAAGTTGCTTGGAGCCTTACTATGTTCCCCAAACCAGCTTCAAGCCTGTGATCCTCCTGCCTCAGTTTCCCAAGCCACTGGGATTACAGGTGTGCACCACCAAGCTTAACTCTACTGTTAGCATAATTTGTGTACTTCTAAACAACCAGAAAGACTAGATGTTTCAAATAAAAACTTAAGTTTGTCAACTATGTACCTAGTAGTATTGAATAAACTACACACATGTAACAGTGGTTTTATCTAAAAGTGTCTTCTAAGAAGGATCATTCTGGCATAGAATCTTTCATTTCTCCCATTTCCTTTTCTCTATGTCACATGTGATATAGGCACATGTGTCACTCAGATGTGATGTTACAATTTCACTTCCAAAAGTCTTTTTCAGAAGACTGCCTTTCTGTAAATTTTAACACAAAGTTTACAAAATGTGTAGGTTTACTAATTCTACTTTTGTCATAATATATTGGCAACATATTTACTATCTAGTGACTAATATGATAAAGTTAGGACTCTCTGTCCAGTATATATGCAATATATCCAGTAGAGCAAAGTTAAATGAAATGCACGTTATAGGGCAATGGGTAAGCTGAAATTTTCTAGCACACTCTTAACAAACACCTTTTGCAACTTCTTTCCTTCCACTTCCTTCAACCCAATAAACAAGTATAGACAGAGCACTATTCAGATGTGGTTTAACAATTTCAAGCACAGTATTTCCTATCAGTTTTTAAAAGCTATTTACAAAATGTTTTATTCTACTACTTCTACTTTTAAATATGTCAAACACTTTTATAGAAGGACTAGATATTCCCCATAAGAACTCGTCCACCTCACACAGCACTGGTAAATAATGTAAATAATGGTTATAATCTGAGGTATCTTCTAATATTATTATTTTGCCCTTGAACCTTCCCCTCCTCACTTCCTTCTCTCTATTTTCGGTCCAGTGGACAAGTACAGGCATATGTAATGCTTAGAGATGATTGAACAAATTCATACCCAGAATTCATTTACAGAGGACAAGCTTTCCTATAACTTTCATTGCAAATTGTACAAAATGTGCTAATTTTATTAACTACTTGGTTATACACTACTAGCAACCTCTTTCATATCTAGAGATTAAATATTGCGAAACTGGGACTCATTTGTCCATTATGTTTATTATATACATAGCAAAATTAAACACTCAAAATGGAAAACTAATGTCTGAAAATGTCCAAGGATGAACACACATTTTACTTTTTGCAATTGCTTTCCTCCCACCTCCTTCATATCACTGAACAAGTACAGACAGTACTACACTGCTCACAGAGATAGTTTAATAGTACCATTCACAAAAGACAATATTTTATATAAATTTTAGCAAAAAGATATTTACAAACTGATATTTCACTACCTCTACATTTAACATACATTGGGCACTTCTAAACATCTAGACTAGATGTTTCAAGTAAGGGCTCCGTTTCTTCACTATGTACACGACAGTCTTGAATAAACTGCACACATGTAACAATAGTTCTAATTTGAAAATGTCTTCTAAACATGAGCATTCTGGCCCTTCACCAACCTAGTGGGCTATACCGCTCAAATTTTCAGAAGACAATCTTTCCTAGGGATTGTAACACAAAACACACAAAATTTGTTTACTAATTTTACTTCTGTCATACACTGGCAATCTCTTTAACATCTAGAAACACTAGATGTTGATTAGGACTCATTTATTCTTTAGATACATCATGAACATATCAAAGAAAAACAAAATGCATAGACTAAGGGAAATGAGTAAGCTGAACTTTTCTAGCACACTCTTAACAAACACCTTTTGCAACTTCTTCCCTCCGACTTCCCTCAACCCAATAAACAAGTACAGACAGAGCACTATTCAGAGGTGGTTCAACAATTTCAAGCACAGTATTTCCCATCAGTTTTTAAAAGCTATTTACAAAAAGTTTTATTCTACTACTAAGGGCTACTTAGACTAAGGACTAAAGATGTGGAAAGAGAATTTTTAAAAAATGGTTACTCTTGCCTCATTATAAGCACACTGGAATGGCGCTCCAGAGGCCCAGTGCACAAATGTCCACGCCTCAACAGGGGTTTTGGTTATTGCCCCCACCTCCCCAAAATTATTTCATAAGAATTTTAACAAAAAGAAATTTACAAAATGTGTTATATTTTACTACTTCTGTTTTTAACATATATCAGGCACTCTAGAACATCTAGAAGGGCTAGATATTTTTTTTTTTACAAAGTACTTAGCATTTTCTACTGTATATACAGTAATGAGGAATAAAATGCGCACACAAAACAATAGTTACAATATGAAAAACGTCTTTTACCTATATCGAGTCTGGCCCAGGACCCCCTCCTTCTTTTCCTAGTCAAAGTCCTTTCCCTGTTCTCTAACCCTCTGAGCAACCCTAACAATTCCATTTCAAAATCACTTCCAGAAGACATTTCTGATTTTTTAAAACAAGGTGCATTTATAAGACGTGTTATTTTCTAACTCTATCACATGTGACAACCGCTTTACATCTAGCATGTCCAGGTGCAGCAGCTCAGCGCAGCTTTTGCACTTTGCAGACAGAGGCCTCTGCGCAGGCCCGTCACTCTTCCCACAGGGCGGGGACACTTCCGGTTGGCTTACGTGCACTTCCTCCCCGGGTCTCCCCTAGTAGACGACAACCCGCTGTCCAGGCCCGAGGCAGCTCCACCCGTTGGCTTCCGAGCTATCTCGCATTTCGAGAAGGTCAAAGCCTTTGTCAGTCCTTGGGGACAAGTGGAGGCCCCACACACCGCAAGGAGCAGTAAGTACGCAGGCCCCATCTGCAGGCTCCATGTCTAATGGCGGCCGAGCTCGGCTTGCTCTCTCTTCTCAGGCTCTTGAACCTTCTCTCCTCGCCAGGCCTCACCAGTGGCTTCCCGAAGGCATCATGTCCTCAGCTGCAGCCTTGCCCGGACTGGACTGGACCCGGCAGCCCGCGAGTGCGGGCTCTGACACGCTGCCATGCTGCCATTGGGTCACCCACTTGGGAGAGTCCTGTTGTCCTGGTCAATGTGGAGCCTCGGTGGGGCCCCGGGCCTCCAGAGAGGTAGGAGGCCTGCACTTGGTCCAGCTCCCAAGCCTGACTGGGACCCTGTGGGCCCAAACAGGCAGTGCCCTGCCTCCCACCATCTCCTGCCGGAATCCAGGTATGGCTACTCTTGCGCCTTTGGCCATTATTAAGTAAAATAAGGCTCACCTGCAACCCAGCGCAGTGCTACCACCTTGATGGTTGATCTGCAGACCAAGACAGCGCCACAGGAGTCAGGGGCCTTTGGTGTACACGGTGTGCATATATAGGACCAAGACACCACCCAAATGAACACAATTTAAAACTTAACTGTTTGTAGAAATTTCTATTTAATTTATTTGTACCACGGTTGATCCTGTATAAACCATACAACGTGAAATCATGGTAACATGTATTGATATGTTACCAAGGATCAAAGTGACTGATAAAATCAACCAACTAGTAACTTTCTCATTCTTCCACATAATATGATGCAATAAGGAAATCCAAAAGCTTCTTTCATTAACATAAATATGGGGTCACATTATGAGATGATCTACTCTCCATACCAGATTTATCCAGTTCGGCCCCAGGTAACTTCACATGATGGTGGTCATCTATTTGTGTTTAAAGTAATATTAAACACACTGTGGCCATTGCCTTGTGGCTCACTGTGACTCCCAGTGCCGCAGTGCTATTAGTTGTTGGCCCCAGTTCATCAGCTATCAGCCTAATCTGGAGAGTTTGGTTGATTTTATTAGTCATAGACATTAGAGGACCGACTCTCAGCTTCATGCTTCCCCAGATGAGGCTGCCACCATTTCACAGCCCTGTTTTTGCCCTCCCTCCTGTTTATTTTTTCTTGCCTATCATCCTCAAACAGGAATTTTTACCTGTTTAGGTTAAAGATCAGATTCTGGTCAAAGGACAGAGCAAATCTCACATTATAATTCAAATTTTTTTATCATGCCATATATTATATTCTTATATTAATATAGAGAAAACTATTTCACTAAGGAGAAAACTACCAACAGAGGGGCAGTTAACTTTATAAAGGAGCTCCTAATGCTTGAGGTACACAGTAGTCATCATTGTATCAGTGTGTCAGATTATACATTGCACATCTGACTTCCCATTAATCAGAGGGTGGGTTATGGTGCTAAGCCATGGAGACAGGTATGCAAGAGCATAGCTGACCTGCCTTCACATACAGATCTCAAGCACCATGCATCAAATAGAGGTATAAAGCATCTGGTGGAAATCATTTTAAAAATGATTAATTTTCTAAAGTCTCCCTGCTTCAGCTCCTAGGAAGAGTTTGCTATTGGGAAAATCTTTATATACAGACTTAAGCTCCTGATTAGTGAAGGTTACATTAAAGTATATTTTATGCTGTATAAGTAAATATTCTGGGCTCTTTCATTTGAAACCAGCAAAAATAATATTTCTTTTTCTGCTGCTACTTCTTCTGACTTTTGTTAGAGATTTAATTTTAATAGCTCTATTGCTGGGAGAGAACACAGCATAGGAGAAGCTTATTTTTCTGCTTTATTTATTTATTTATTTGGACTAAATAATAGAATGTAAATTGATAGTGCTGATCTGTTTTTCTCACCATTACTATGAATGAGTATCAGGAGCATGTATTTATATTTCTCTACCAAAACTACTCAAAATGAGAAAGACCAAATCCAAGAACTTGACAAGTGTATGTCTGGTCAATTTGTGTTCTTTTCTATTCCCTTTGTGCTCCTGGATACTACATCAATTATCTGGTGATGTAGTTTGAAGGTATGCCAGGAGTAAATTTAGATGATTATGGTAGCTAAAGACAGACAATATTTGGGGTGATACTAACTTAATATTCTTAAAACTCATAATAATGACTTTGTCTCTGCTTGTATAATGAGGTAAAATTTTTCTGTATGATTAATTCTAGCCAACATTTTTTCTAAACACCAGTAAATTCCAGAACAGAGTGGTAGGTCTAAGAAAACCTTTTATGTAGTCATAACTAATATAGTAATTGTATAAGATCACCTGAAGAAACAAGACAGTCACGAAAGTAAAATAGAAGGAATGTACAGATTAGGAGACAAGTATATGAGAAATATTAATAATTTATTGACATAAATATAGCAAGCTTATGCCTTAGAAATTGAATATATATATTGATTTTATGCATATTTGTCCTTTATCCTTTCTTCCTTCTCTATGAATTTTGTTCGTTCTTTTCTTTCTCTTCCAGAATACTGATAAAGTAGTCTAAAAAACTAACTTCAAATGTGCAAAAATCAGTATTCTGATATATATCCTAAAATTTAAAGAAGTAAATTATTTAGGGAGACAACATATAAGAAAACATACATTATTACACATTCAAAAAATCCATGTTAATCCTATATTAAAGTGTTATTTTAAACAAAAGATTATCAATCTTTTGTATGTATTTTATTAAGCATTTACTATGTGCCACATTGCTGCTATGTTTATTTCTTCCATTGCATAAGTTATATATCATCTTTTAGGCATGATAAAATGTAGATTGAAGCTCAGTAAATTTTTAAAGAGTTTATTTTCTTAAATAGCAATTCATGAATTGGGAAGCTTCAAGCCAGACGTGAACCTCAAACAAGACGAAGGAAGGGGGAGGTTACTATGGAAAGAACAAGGAAGTAAAGCAAAGAAAATATTTGATTGAAAATATAATTTGCCTTATTTTGTCTATCCTTTTGGAAGATCACTAGTCCTGTAATTATAAATTAATTGTTTCAAATTGGTTGAGTTTAAGTTTTTTTTTCTTTAATAAAGTCCCTTGCAAGGTCAGTCTCAAGTTGTTTTGCTTATGTTTGCAAATGGTACAAGGTTAAGGTCACTTATGAGGCCTAACCAGTTTTGTGTGCTCAGGGATTCTTCAGACCCAGTCTCCATTTTATTGTAGTTTAACAGGCATTCCTTTTCCTGTAAACAAAGAGGGTCTTAAAGGAAATGTTTCATTGGGGAGGCAACCATGGCAGTCTTATATGTTATTTCCCAGGTGAAGAAAGGGAAGAAAGCCTCTCAAAGCCACAGATGAGGAAACTGCAATAGGAAGAGAAAATGAAAAAGCAGATTTGAATGGAGGAGTCTCTGAAGATGTTGAGCTCTCATATCTCTACCAAGATCATCTTGATTTCTAGAAGGCAAAGGACTGTGCATATGCACTTAGTGAATTCTCAATAAATTCTCATTTTACCTTTCAAATATATTTTATTACTATTCCCTCTGCTCTTTTCTGCCGCAGTCTGGCTGGGCACAAGAGCCACTCACAGCTTTGTAGACTCAAACAGCAATTCTTAATCCCAAACTCACACGGGCCCTCTACAAACACGTTCTGCCGCAAAATTCACGTACTCCACCAGGCTTTGAATCCCAAATACTTTCTGAATCCCACAGAACTCAACGGGAACTCAGGCCTCAGGATACGCCCTATTCCCAGCAGGAATAACCTTAAACCTGGAACCGCCCTAAACCCAAGGAGCGGGATACTCCCTAAAACCTGCAGGATATACCCTAAACCTGGATCCGCCCTAATCCAGTAGGATCCTCCCTAAACCCGGATCCACCCTGGTCCTTGAGCAGGGTCACCTTTCTCAAACATACATGCAGTGTCACAGCAAATGTCCAAGGCAAGTCCATTTCCACGAGTCCTTCCTCTAAGCAACATGGGGTATGCTGGCAAGGAAATTTTGATTCCTACTTGGCAATGGCTCTCAGCACTTTTTAATCTCTACTTTTGATGCATTAGGTTATTGCTTCATGTGGAAAATTTCAATAATCTACATAATAGCTTTCCTGTTTTCTACATTTAACCTTCAATCTAATCCCCATATGATTCATCCCCTGCCTACTCCTTCATTATCTCCTCAGATTGAAAACTTTATAATTGATTTACATAGCCACTATGTTCCCTGAACACACAATGCCAATTCTGTGACATCCTCCTCATAACATTAGTCCTTTTTCTCTTTGTTGAAATGACCACCTATACTTGGAAAAAAAATCTGACTTATACTTCAAGATTCATTTCAAGGTTTCCTCTATGGAATTCCTTTACAGAATTGTTTTGAATCTACCCAGAATGAACAGCTCTCTTCTGTTTGCTGGCATTGGATCTGGAAAAAATACTATTAAGTGAATTGCATTGTGCATTATTACAACTTGGACATTAATTCATTTCCTTTACTAGGCTGGAAGTTTCTGGAGAAAGAGATGTCCCCTTTGGCTTCATATCTTTAGAATGCATAAACATAGGCTCAACAAATATTATTAAATCAATTTTTGTTGAAAAATGAGTGGATAATATATGCTTGAGTGACAAGAGACTAACAAGGGCCAAAAGAACATTATTTCCCCTATTAGATATTATAATCGGTGACAAAGAAGTTTATCTGTAGACAGCATGAATCCACAGAACCCTGTGCCTCCTGACATGCTATGGCTAGCAGTGTGACACGAAGTATCTTGGGAAATTCCAGCAAGATGAGATACGAGCCTCTTATACTTCTAGAAATGCACACAGACTACCACCACGTTGTCTAAAATCAACAATGAAACCCCAAGCATGAATATTGCTCAGTAGAATGGTATGGTTAGGTCAAGAGAACAGAGTTCGGATGGAAAAAAAAATCTAAAAATAATGGCCTGGGAAGTAACTACTATTCTAAGATAAAATTGTTTCAGAAGGATTTTGCTTACATCCAGCAACATCTAGAATTGACTGACAGACATTGGATAGAGAATCCAACTTTCCACCTAGAACAGGATTTCTGTAAAGATGCTGATCCAGATTTGATTTCAATACTTCTAAGAATGAGAATCTTTATTTTGAAGGAAACCATTTTAATTTTGGAGTATTTGTGGTGAGCTGCAATCTGCCTTTAGTCATTGACTTTGGTTCTTTTTCCTGGAGCAACACAGAATGCATCTAGTTGTTTTTCTGCATGGAAACTTTTCATGTATTTGAATACAGCTATCATTGTTTCCCCCAAAGCTTCCTTTCCCCAAGATTATAAACACTCTATTTCATATAGTAAATCCGTATTTGATGTTGGTTTAAAACCTTTGGGGTCTCTTTAGTCATATTCCACTAGATACACTGTGGTTTGATGCTCAAATGTCAATGCATATGACAAGTGTATGTAAGCAGAGCAGCTTACAAGGAAAAACTTCTCACTGTGCCTGCAATATGCTTTTTTTATTAAAATCAAATATTATACCCAGTGAATAAAAAATCAGAACACTAGATGCTAGGAATTATTCTTGGGGCTGGGATAGAAAAGTGAGTAAATTTAGCTCAAATTAAAAATACCCTCTCAATAAATTATTATCTAGATACTATAATTGAGATATAAACAAAATATGATCATCAAAATAACTAATATTTTAAGTTTTTAGACAATTGAAGATCTGTTTATTTCAGATTACTTGATATTCATCAATTCTAAAGCTGTGCTATTGATTTTTAAAAGTTTCAATGTTGGATTGCATACGTATCTTTTCTGATTTCATCATGCTGATTTTATTATAACTCCAGCATAGCTAGTTCTTTAAAAATTTTATCTTGTCATCAAGTATGTCAGTTTTCTTTTCTAAGCCTTGGTTCACCTCTAAGTTTGATAACAACAGGAAAATTGACTGGTTTTTTTACATTAACAAAATTATTTGTGTTCTGTATTCCCAACAGAAATATGTGTTGTGGAATTTGGGTAATGGGAAGTGGAATGGCATATATTTAGAAAAGAGAATTTATTCCAGCCCAGACAAATATAGACACTTGGAATTCTACCCACAGTGACTCATAAAAATTTCAGAGGTTTCCCATCTGCTGACAGCCATGTGGTTTTAGCTATTGGCATAGGTGAAGTAAGGGCCTGAGAAACAGAGAAAAAGGTATCAAGGGCTGATTTTTTTCATGCCAGTTTCTTATGACAAAAAAAAAATATCACAAATTAAAAGACCATCTTAGGTCTAGCTCCCAGTGTGGCTTGGAGTGCACTTATATAAATCAAACTCTCTTTTTGCTTGAGTTACATCTTCCTAGAGAGGTCTTCCCTGACTAACCTATAGAAATAGTAGCACAACTGCCTCTGCATGAGTGTCCCTTGCTCTGTTTCATGTGTCCTGTGGCTCTCATCACCACTGGACATACCGCCTATTTCCTAGTTTATTCTCAGGCTGTCTTCATCTCTTACAATGACATGCATAAGTCTATAAGGTCTATGCAAGAACAGACTTTGGTGTATTTATTTTTTGTGGTATACACACTGCTTTAAACAGAAAGTGGCATTAAAACACTTTCTACTTAGAATTGCTTAGCAATTCTAAGCAGGAAGTGTGAATCAGGTGGTATAGCGATACCAGATTTCAAACTATATTATAGAGCAATAGTAACAAAAACAGCATGGTATGGTACCAAAACCGGCGGGTGGACCAATGGTACAGAATAGAGGACACAGAGACTAATCCACAAAGTTACAACTATCTTATATTTGATAAAGGGGCTAAAAGCATGCAAT